GTCGGCACAACGCTTGTCCGCTGGCAGCTGACACCCTTGCTTGGTGATGCTGGTGGCACTGCTGGGCACTCTCTTGCTCCGTCTCTCTCTCTGGTTGATTGCTTGACGCTGAGAATAACTTTTCAGCGATACTCTGTCGGTCCATGCCGAACTCAGCACAGAGCATCACCTCGCCCCTCCTCTCTGCGATGCACCACACGCATTGTTGATCTCGAGGCCATGCCCCGGGGCTGGCTTGCTCTCCTCTTCTGAGCTGCTGTGTGTCTTCTTGTCGAGCTGATGGTCGCCGTCTTCTGCCGCTGGTAGCTGGGATTTTGTCGAGCTGAATTGTGTGTGTCGTGTTGCTGTTTATATCCAAAATATCTCCCCTCTGCGCGTCTCTTGCGAGAGGAAAAAAAAACAGATGCTTACTCCGTCATGCTCTCTCATAAAGGACCGGAATTCCTTTGATCTCGCTCTGTGTTGTGGGGGGGCTGTACGTGTGTCCGTGTGTGTGTCTGTCATTTATCAAGCCATCTGTGTCTCTCCCTGTGATCACAGTCGTTTCCCTCGCTCTGGGTGTTACATTCCTTGCTATCCCGTGCTGCGGGAAGACAAAGACGGTTGGGAGGCTCTTTTCCTATGGAACACAGTTTATCTTGGTTGTGTAAGTTTGACCTCTTTCGCCTCATCTCTTCTGGACAACCTTCGGTTAAATACTGCACAAATATTATTTGGTTTATGTTTCTTAAGATTTGTGATTTAACATTGTCATCAGCACGTATTTTTTTTGGGTTTATTAATTTCGTCCCCCCGTCTGTATCCGAGGATCCGTGCTGTTATACTTGAGTTATTATTTGTCACGTAAACGGCAAGATGTAATATAATTTAAGGTGAATAAAGTTAGTATTAATATTATGTGTGAGAAGTAATAACCCGCTATGTAGATTGTAGTCTGTTTTTTTATCGTAGTGAGTGTGTGGATTCTCTATGATGTCGATTCATTTGTTGCTAAGTTCTGAACTTTAACCGTTGTATTAATGGGGAAAATTATTTTAGAATTCGCCTGTGAGTGGCGCCGGATTGTCTGTGAGCTCAAAGAGGGGTCTTTGAAGTACTCATTGGAATTCCCCTCGAGTCTCATTAGTAATTCCCCCCCCCCCCCACTTTGCCTTTGTTTCGGGTTTTATTACTTTTTATGGCCTCTCTCCGTCTCTGTTGTGTGTGAGGGGAGGGTGCTGTGAGGGGTGGGGGCTGTGAGGGGTGGGGGCTGTGAGGGGTGGGGGCTGTGAGGGGTGTGGGCTGTGAGGGGTGGGGGCTGTGAGGGGGGGGAGGCTGTGAGGGGTGGGGGCTGTGAGGGGTGGGGGCTGTGAGGGGTGGGGGCTGTGAGGGGAGGCTGCTGTGAGGGGTGGGGGTTGTGAGGGGAGGGGGCTGTGAGGGGTGGGGGCTGTGAGGGGTGGGGGCTGTGAGGGGTGTGGGCTGTGAGGGGTGGGGGTTGTGAGGGGAGGGGGCTGTGAGGGGTGGGGGCTGTGAGGGGTGTGGGCTGTGAGGGGTGGGGGCTGTGAGGGGTGGGGGTTGTGAGGGGTGGGGGCTGTGAGGGGAGGGTGCTGTGAGTGGTGGGGGCTGTGAGGGGTGGGGGCTGTGAGGGGTGGGGGCTGTGAGGGGAGGGTGCTGTGAGTGGTGGGGGCTGTGAGGGGTGGGGGCTGTGAGGGGTGGGGGTTGTGAGGGGTGGGGGCTGTGAGGGGTGGGGGTTGTGAGGGGTGGGGGCTGTGAGGGGTGGGGGCTGTGAGGGGAGGGGGCTGTGAGGGGTGGGGGTTGTGAGGGGTGGGGGCTGTGAGGGGTGGGGGTTGTGAGGGGTGGGGGCTGTGAGGGGTGGGGGCTGTGAGGGGAGGGGGCTGTGAGGGGTGGGGGCTGTGAGGGGTGGGGGTTGTTCACCTCACCCCCTCTGGCCTGCAAGCGACACCACGAGCAAAAAAAAAATTGGCAACGCATTCTTAATATCAATTTTGGAAAAAGGCCTATATACACAACAGCCGTATGGCCCTGAAAGCTCAATTTCCCTGTATAAGAATGCGGGGTAAACTGTATGGGTTGACAGCTATGGGTATGTGCCAACTTGCCCACGAGTCAATGTCAGTCGTACGTTTCGTATTGCTGTTTAAAATGTACAAACACCGACCATTCCAGTGCACGGTACACGAGCCTGGTGCAAAATAAATCCTATTAGACAATACTAATCCGTCTTCTTTGGTTCTTTCGGTAAAGTCACGTATAATAATCCGATGGGTAAACAATACATTTAGCTGAACGATAATGAGTGAAGAATTCAACAATTTGCGTGGGCAAGCATGGCAACTGGATAGGTTGGTAAGGAAAAACAGCACCACCTCAGCTCGCTGGAAAGATTTTTTATATATATTTTAAATATCTGCCAAGTTCACTTCTAGTTGTAGCACATGACATAAAAAAAAGATTGGCCTTGTATCAGTTCAAAATAGATGTAGGGGCACACGTCTATCATACAGCGACTTGGAATTACTGTTGTTGGCAGATATGGAACTGGACCGATGATGTGTTTGAGATGCTCAGCAGCTGGGAAATTACGTGCTTCTTATATAGTCTGTACAGCAAGTAGGTTGGTGGAATTAAACATTTTTGCCGTTTCCCAAAATGTTATCCTGATGGGTGCCATGAAGAATCCATTCAGATCTCTTGCAGAGCAGTACCACCCCTTTGTGTTCGTGAAAGCAGATACCACAGAGCTAGCTCTGAGATCCCTTCAAGAGACCTCTGTTTGTTACACTTGGGGCAGCAATTTCCCAGTGGTCATGCCAGATGAGATTAATGTTCGTCGCATGACAGTCAAATCTATTTTTTTTTTACCAAGAAGTAGAATTTAGCCATATTAATTGCAGAACCAAATTGAATGTGATGATATTGTTGGTTCTTTCGGTAAAGTCACATAGATAGAAAATAAAATAAAAAGATAATAAAATTTAACAAAATACAATTTTAAAATAAAAATAATAAATGGAAAATAAAGCAAAAAACCCCACACGGGTTTTTTGCTTTTATTATTTTAAATTTATGATACATTTAATAAATTATTATTTTAATGTAATTATCTTTTATTTGAGTAAATTTTCTATCTACATGACTTTACCGAAAGAACCAAGAATATTAAAGTTTGAAGTAAAAATTAAATGTGATGATGTATTGTGTGCACTCATTGGTTCACTGGCGCTGAGACCATGAACTTGTTAAACTTGAGAATGCGGTTTAACCAAAGGTGGCTGTCCTGATTCAGACCGAGGATCTCCACGGCACAAGCTCAGCGCTCTGACCTCTGAGCCACCCATGCGCGTGGCGCGCATGGCACGCACAGCGTTGCATGCGACACATTGTGATTAATGCCCATGAGCATCCGTGAACCCCTTTTGTCTTTTTATCTCAGTCTGTCATGGTTTATTTACACACGCAAGCAACAGCCCTACACGCGGAAGCCTATCAGCTGGAGCAGATGGTCTGTCGCTATAATACGGGGTTGCCTCTCTGCCATATCCGCTGGTTTTAGGCATTTAGATGACATCCAAAAATTCGTATGACTCGTGAAATTGTAAATTACACTAGTAATTTTATTTTTTTGTATGTTTATAATTGTGTCGCTAATTTTGCGATATCACATTTACTTGCAATGCTGTCAACGTATGAATGCAGAGAAATGCCAATTCCCATAACTCGGGAATTGGAGGATGACAGCACAGCCCGATTTCAATATCTGTTTACTCAATAAGCCTGCCTTAACACAACCACAGAACAGTTGATTACAGCGGGTTTACTGAAAGTATGTACAGTATTAACAGATGTGTGTGTATATTCTTGTTATTTTACCCTTAATGGCAGGTCACATCACATGAAGTGTAAAGCCAGTCTTTGATGGCCAGACTTTCACCTGGCTGCACCTGAGATTGCTGAGAACTAGGATTAATCTGTGGTCACAATTTTATATTTTTACTCAAGTATCAGTGATGCTGGCTCAGTATTGTGACCCGCATTCAATTCGGGGATATTTAGCCACAACAAGCACCAGAGTTATTGATTTGCAGGAATTGAAGTCACTGGTTTAGAAGTGAAGGATGCAACCACCCCGAGGAGATAGCGTGTTGTGTGTTCTGTTATAAAATGTAAATAAATTAGTTATTGTCGTTGTTGTTGTATGTATGTGTGTATGTATGTTGAAGTTCTTTTGCATTGTACGTAGCCAACCGTGCTAATCGGAGGCGTGGGGAGAACAATTTGCAGGGAATCTTTCAATGTTGGAAAAGTTGGACCGTGACGTTTGCACATAAAATTGCCCACTCTTGCGAATGACGTCACGGGATCTTGAACACCCACTGTGTATTTCTGCTTTTAAAACACTCCTAGAAATATCCCGGGCGGAAATGTTAGCAATATTCTTTGAAGGAAAAATGTAGGTTAATGAGTTTACAAGAATATATTTGGCGCGCACACCAAACTTGATAACTTTCAATATTTGACAGTGATCTGGACCACAGAAATATGTAATTTTCATCCAAATGGAGATGAGTGCCACCCCACTGCTAATGTGGCAGTGAGACACTTTTCACTTCAAACAGCGCACTAGGAATTAACGATAATGCTGGCAAGCACCACGAAGCCGGGGTCACACATTACAGATCAACAATTATTCGTGGGCAAAGTGGCATTGTTCGACAATCCTGAAAAAAGGGCACTGGGCACATTCTCAAAGGCTCGACGAAGGAAACTCTGGAGGGAGAGGATGCTGGTCAAAGAAGCCAAGAGACAGAAAACGGAAACTGCTGCATGACAAACTTGAAGGGAGGGGGTGCGACTGTACGGTGAGACGGAAGAAAGCCCAAGATCTGGCAGACGATCGAGGGAGCTTGAGCCAAAGACCTACCAGTTGGCTGTGGAATAAAGGTGACGTTCAAAGTCATCCACATTGCTGTTGTTCGTTTTGCTGCGTCGGTTTGTTGCAGAGGACCCCCCATGATGGACTACGAACGTCCCAACGTTGAGACCATCAAGTGCGTGCTGGTGGGGGACAACGCCGTGGGCAAGACGCGTCTCATCTGCGCGCGCGCCTGCAACGCGACGCTCACGCAGTACCAGCTGCTGGCCACGCACGTGCCCACCGTCTGGGCCATCGACCACTACCGCGTGTGCCAAGAGGTGAGCCGTCGCCCCACGCGGACAGCGCTCACTCGATGGAGGAATCGCTCGCCCGAAATGTTCGTCACGCTCCCTTCACCAGAACCTCCGATTAGCACGGTCGGCTACACACAAAGATCCCCCGTGTAGCCTTAACAGACTGTCGGGGCAAGTGCTATTTGCGAGCACCTATGAAGGCCTGCACGGCACACGAGGGGGTGGGTGGCCAGCACCACGCCAGGCCACCTTTGTCTCCCCAGTGGCGATGTTTGCACTTACACATCACACCAGGTATTCATTTGAGGCTGAGTCAACCTAGGGGAGGCCCAGGACCGGTTCAGATAATCATTACCGGTGTTGGCCGTGAGCGGGAATCGAACTCGGGTCGTCGGGTTCATGATGCCGCACGCTAACCGTTACACTACCGCTCCTCACAAACATACACATTCGTACATCATCAACCTTGGTCAATCCACTGCCGGATGAAGGCCTTCCCAAGCCGCTGCCATCTCTCACGATCCTGAGATCAAAAACTCCACCAAACACCTGCTCCTAAGCTAATATCACCGCTCAACGTCCGTGGCGGAGACTCTTGAATGCGTTACGTTCCATCACCGCCACTCCTTCATTAGCCTTTCCCAGCCGCCATCATCAAATGCTCATTTATACATTCCCCTGCTGTTCGGTGAGGCCTTCATCCGGCATTGGATTAATTATAAATTCAATGATGATGAAAATAATATTCTTCTGTGACAAGATACTGTCAGTGATGTGGTGAGTTATATTGTCGCTGTACACTTGTGGACCACTGCCACTATAGATCCTGGATTAATTAATGATTAAAAAATTAACATTTTGCTGTGTGCTTGTGGTGATGTTAATGTGCCTCTACGCTCAACCAAGTATCGGGTTGTCAATGCACTTCATAATGGTAAGTTAGCATATTGTACAGAAGCTTTGCATGGGTTTAGAGGTGGTTGGATTGCGTATTTTATTAAACTAAGCTCCGAGTAGAAGTGAACTCACGTTGACCACCAGGAGGAGCTAATGATGATTATAGTCCAGGTTTCACCAATTTACGCGGGTTCAAGTTTGTGCAATTTCGTGTACAGTCTGTTCTGTATTTCGAAAAGTTTTTAGTTTAGCCATATTTGTTTGTTGTAGTACAGAGTTAGACTGATAACTTTAATCTAAATTGTCTCATGGTTGTTATTGTTTGACTTGCATCCCACTGGCATTTTTGCACACAGCGTTGATAGACTTTTTTTAGAAGACTTTGCTGTTTTTTCCTGGATTTTTCTGTTTGGGCGTAGTCACTTTAAGATGTTCTTTGTTCATTTTTTTGTTTGTACGCGGTTGCACCCGATTCAAGAGCCGAATGGCTCACAGGGCTATACCAAATAAATGAAACTGAAATAAATGAAACTGAAAACTGTAACGCGGTACTAAGTGCGTTCCTGAAGAACGCCGCGTTGTGGAAAAATCTCGTTATAATAAATAATATATAATAGAGGACAAAGCACAGTCCGCTATAACACGTGAGATGCGTACGCAGGCTGAACAAAGACTGAGGCGCGTGGGTAGCACCTAGAAGCATCCAGCAGCATCCCGCCTTGTGTGATGCTGCGCCGAGACAGTCGCACGACCGCCTATTCTTACTCGCGCGACGCAGTTCTGTGAACTCAATCGCGTTACATCCAATTCGCGTTATGAAAACACGCCTTGTAGGAGAGCAGACGGTATACGCGGCCAACTTATTTCTCCCCACAATTCGCTAAATATGCAGTTTGAATTCACTCACTTGCGGCTATTTGTTCGGACGTGGGACAACATTTCGTGTGTGCTGTACTCGCTACTCGGTAGGCCGCTCTCACGCGCGGTTTCATTTTGAAAGGCCCTTTTTATGTAACGCATCTAACACATGAAGCGAGGGGAACACCTGAAACGTCCTTTATGACCAACCTGGGCAAACCAGCCTAGAGGTATTGGCCAAAAATCCCCCATGACCGATACTGCCTGGAGAGCCCGTCATCCAGCAGTGGATTGGCAAAGCAGCGCAGGTGATTTAATTATTAGCCAATTACTTTTTCGCATGAGAAAATGTGTCTGGGTGGTGCTAAGCAGCAGGGAGCTGGCTTGCAATTGGAACGTTGCAGGTTCAAATCTCCGGTTGAGGGTTAACGCAATGTGTCGTCTGGTTAGCGTTGATAAATGGGAACTAGGCAGTGGTCGTACTATGGAATGATACCATGGGAATGTGGAATTTCACACTCCTGGCTTTTATGGTAGCCGTAATGTAAGTAGGTAAGCACTACCCAATTCTCATTTGAGCAGGGTGCCATGGTGACCTTTGAACTTAATCTGACACCGGTTGTTATGTCCCATTATGAACCTTGCCTTTGTAATCCATTCAAGGAGATCCTGGGGATTCTCACTGAGTCTTTGGACTCTTCTTCAAGACGGTCATGCTTGGGTTTCTCCCCCCTCCCCCCAGCCAATTCCTGTGTGAGTGGCATTTCAGTGCTTGGCAGCAGACTGGAGTACCCCCCAGAAGCCAAGTATACGAAGGTAGAGCTGTAAACGTGTACAGTGTTAGCTCGTTATTTACGATGCTGGATACGTTCCGGAGATGCTCGTGAGTAGCACATTTGATCACTTTATCTAAGTGTTCTTCACTCATTTTCCGAGGGGGGGGGGGAGCACTTTCGCCGTTAAGACATCATCAGTGTGAGGGCCGCCACAGATTTGAAACCATTGGGGTTGGATGATGGGGGTGTCTTCATATTTGTGTATTGTCAGGGGCCGCACGAAAGGCCACCAGAGGCCGGTAGTGGCCCGCAGGGCTTACAATGCAGAACGCTGGTTTATCTCATCACTGTCTTTCGTCACATTCTCTCTCATCACTTTCTCTCTTGTCACTTTCTCTCTCATCACTTTCTCTCTCGTCACTTTATCTCTCGTCACTTTATCTCTCGTTACTTTATCTCTCGTCACTTTATCTCTCGTCACATTATCTCTCGTCACTTTATCTCTCGTCACTTTATCTCTCATCACTTTATCTCTCATCACTTTATCTCTCATCACTTTATCTCTCGTCACTTTATCTCTCATCACATTCTCTCTTGTAACTTTATCTCTCATCACTTTCTCTCTCATCACTTTATCTCGCATCACTTTATCTCTCGTCGCTTTATCTCTCGTCGCTTTATCTCTCATCACTTTCTCTCTCATCACCTTCTCTCTCGTCACTTTCTCTCTTGTCACTTTATCTCTCATCACTTTCTCTCTCATCACTTTATCTCTCATCACATTATCTCTCATCACTTTATATCTCATCACTTTATCTCTCGTCACTTTCTCTCTCGTCACTTTATCTCTCATCACTTTCTCTCTTGTCACTTTCTCTCTCATCACTTTATCTCTCATCACTTTATCTCTCATCACTTTCTCTCTCATCACTTTCTCTCTCGTTACTTTCCTCTCCAGCAGTCGTGGAGAGTTTCAGATGCGCTTCGCGGATAGCCAAAATCGCGGATAGCAAGTTCGTAAATAACGAGGGATTACTCTACTCTAGACAGCTTCCTTGCTGTGCTGCCATCTACTGTACTCCTCGTAGCCCTGAAGGTTTAGAGTTTCACAGCCATGGTATTATTTTGTACATATTTACAAACCCTGCACATTGAAGGGCAGCAGGATCACCATAGTTCAGGGGTCGGGAACCTATGGCTCGCGAGCCAGATGTGGCTCTTTTGATGATTGCATATGGCTCGCAGATAAAACAAAATATTCTCACTTGTTTTAATCCATCCATCGATTTTTCACTGCGCATGTCCTGTTCAGGGCTGCAGGAGCAATTGTCCATTATTTTAATTGGATGATACTGGCCTACGTTTGCCGTTGCTGGGTAAAACAGGTAAACGCCCCCTTTTGAATCAGTCTGAGACTGCGTCTGCTCGGTCATTAGCTCAAAGCTAACCCTTCGACGAAGCAGATGGCGAAAAGAAAAAAAGACGACGAGTATCGTACATTTCAGGACGAATGGACCGAAGAATTCGCCTTTGTGGAGAGAGCGGGTTCTGCGGTGTGTCTAATTTGCAATGACAAAATTACATCATTGAAACGGTCGAATGTAAAGCGGCACTTCGACACGCGCCACGCTACCTTTGCATCAAAATACCCTGCGGGAGACAGCAGAAAGAAAGCGTGCCAAGAGCTTCTGAGCAGGGTGCAAGCTAGCCAGCAGCAACTCCGCGTATGGACCCGGCAAGGTGACTATAATTCGGCTAGCTTTGCTGGTTCTTTAGCAATAGTGAGGAACGGAAAACCATTCACAGATGGCGAGTATGCTAAAACGTTCATGCTGGATGTAGCCAATGAACTTTTGATGATCTTCCGAACAAAGACAAGATAATCAAACGGATACAAGACATGCCTCTGTCGGCAAGAACTGTTCATGATCGTACCATCGTGATGGCAAACAAAGTGGAGGAAACGCAAGTGAAGGACATAAATGCAGCGCCGTTCTTTTCTCTGGCTTTGGATGAGTCAACAGACGTGAGCCATTTGTCGCAGTTCAGCGTGATTGCAAGATATGCTGTTGGTGACACACTGCGCGAAGAAAGTCTTGCTGTTCTGCCATTAAAAGGGTCCACAAGAGGTGAGGATTTATTCAAGTCTTTCATGGAGTTTGCTCAAGAAAAAAGTCTACCTATGGATAAACTTCTCTCAGTGTGTACTGATGGTGCTCCGTGTATGGTGGGGAAAAACAAAGGATTTGTGGCGCTTCTCCGTGAACATGAAAATAGACCCATCCTAAGTTTCCATTGCATTATACACCAGGAGGCACTTTGTGCTCAGATGTGTGACAGGCAGTTTGGCGAAGTGATGTCGCTGGTCATTCGTGTGATCAACTTTATTGTTGCCCGAGCCTTAAATGATCGCCAGTTTAAAACACTGCTGGATGAAGTTGTAAATAACTATCCTGGTCTGCTTTTGCACAGCAATGTGCGTTGGTTGTCAAG